ATATATCGTATCGTGACCCCTCTGTCATGATATGTATCGTATTGCCAAATTCTTGCCAATACACAGCCCTACCTATTTAAAAGAACAACTTTATTACTGATTAMAACATTTAACCAACATTTAAATACTTTGTGCTGTGGTTCAGTAACTTCTAAAMCAGTTTTAAGTTGAATTGTACGCTCCGTACTCTATAGATTACACTACTCAAACAGGAGCAGAGTGTTTGTGCGATTAAAAGGCTTTCAGGAAAAGTATTTTCATTATTTTGTGTTTGATCTCTTGACAGGTTTTCAGACAGGTGGTGAGAAACTGGAGTACAGACACAAGCCTGATCCTAGAAAGATGTAAGTCATGGTTTTATTGTTTGTCTTCGCTTTGTTTCACTGTCATTTAGGTTTGTGAGCATTTTAAAAAGTTAAAACGTCCACACTGAAAAGTTATTCCTCCCCACCAATTATTAGTTATTTCACTATGGTCCAAACCTGCGTCTAAATGTCATCAAAAAGTTTAATGATGGATTGTGCTATATGTCCTTTTCTCTCAGCGATAAACCGGGTGCAGCTGTTGGGCCGCGTTGGTCAGGACCCGGTAATGAGACAACCGGACGGTCGAAACCCCGTCACCATTTTCTCAATGGCAACAAATGAAATGTGGCGCACTGGAGACGGACAGGCGGGCTCAACAGGTTGCATATCCGAGTTTAATTAATTTGATCATAATCTTTTAGTACTAATTTGTGCCACTAAAGGTCATTAAAGAGCCTGAACTCATAATAGATCAGTGCTGTTGCATTTCAAGGCAGTGAGAAGCTCGTGAGATTTGTTTTTCTATCATCATTACATGTGTTTTATGGGTTAAAGCTGAGAYGGCTGTTGCTGGTTCTCACTTCAGGTGACGTCAGTCAGAAGACGATGTGGCATCGGGTGTCCGTGTTCAAACCAGGTCTGAGAGACGTCGCCTATCAGCACGTTAAGAGAGGGTACGAACAACAGATCTTTACGTGCTGTGGGTTATGTTTTATTTCATTTGAAAGCATTCTGATTGGTTGATCAGAGTTGTGAGTGTGTTGGGTAAAAACAGAAATGTTACGTGACTTTACAGGTCCTTCTCAAAAAATTAGCATATTATGATAAAGTTCATTATTTTCTGTAATGTACTGACAAATGTTAAACTTTCATATATTTTAGATTCATTGCACACCAACTGAAGTAGTTCAAGCCTTTTATATTTTTAATATTGATGATTTTGGCAACAAAAGAAAAGAAAACCCAAAAATCCCTATCTCAAAAAATTAGCATAACATGAAAAGGTTCTC